TAATGTCTGATGTTGCATGTGTAAGGATGCCACTGAATACTTCTTGTAATGTTTGATGTTGCATGTGTAAGGATGTCATTGAATACTTCTTGTAATGTCGGATGTTGCATGTGTAAGGATGCCATTGAATACTTCTTGTAATGTCGGATGTTGCATGTGTAAGGATGTCATTGAATACTTCTTGTAATGTCTGATGTTGCAAGTGTAAGGATGCCATTGAATACTTCTTGTAATGTTGGATGTTGCATGTGTAAGGATGCCATTCATTTTTGTAAATGTTGCATGTGTAGGATGTCATTGAATACTCCTGTAATGTCTGATGTTGCATGTGTAAGGATGCCATTGAATACTTCTTGAAATGTTGGATGTTGCATGTGTAAGGATGCCATTGAATACTTCTTGTAATGTTTGATGTTGCATGTGTAAGGATGTCATTGAATACTTCTTGTAATGTCTGATGTTGCATGTGTAAGGATGCCATTGAATACTTCTTGAAATGTTGGATGTTGCATGTGTAAGGATGCCATTGAATACTTCTTGTAATGTTTGATGTTGCATGTGTAAGGATGTCATTGAATACTTCTTGTAATGTCGGATGTTGCAGGTGTAAGGAAGCTGTTGTCTATATCTTGTAATGTCTGAATCTGTGTGTATATGATTTCTGTTGGCTGTATCTTGTAATGTGTTATGTTGACTGTACGTTAATGCCTTTTGAGTTGTCATATGGATTCCTTAGCTTCTACTATAAATGGATGGGATTATAGGAATAGTATCAGGTCCCTATGTGGCTGTTAATGGGCTTTTTGTTGGAAATCTTAATTGAACCATTTCCCTGGCATTATAGATATTCTGCAAAACCTCTTACACTGGCTAATACAGCTGTTTTGTGAATATGAGCCTTATAGTAGCTAACAGGTCATCTAATAACACCCACACTCTCAGCCTTTGAACAAAACTGCACCATGTGCTGATACAGCAAATTCCATATTTCTGCAGGGGATATAAATATAGAACAAACAGTTGATTACATTTTAATTGAATACTCTATCCCTATGACATAATTTCAAGCCACTTAATAACTATTTCAACGATTATATTCACTAATTAGCCCTGACAAATTATTTCCTGCCATGGGACACATGGGTAGGATGTGACATTCTCAACTTTGTACATGTGGTTCATATCTGCTAAACACAGAGCAGCTTGTGAGTTATTAAATATCAATCACTTCTCAACAACATTAGTTTCAAATGGGAGAAGACTGTTCTGCAATGTTACAGTAGTTCTTTTTTTTTTGCGTCACCGAGTGCTACGGTTGCCACAGGAAAGTGAGCAGAGTGCTGCTCTTGTGGCTGTAAAAGTGAAGGTGGGATCTGTGCCCCTGCTGTGGTTTCTACAGGACAGTGGACACTGTGTCCCCGCTGCGGTTTCTACAGGACAGTGGGCGGTTTCTACAGGACAGTGGGCACTGTGCCCCAGCTGTGGTTTCTACAGGACAGTGGGCACTGTGCCCCTGCTGTGGTTTCTACAGGAAGGTGGACACTGTGTCCCTGCTGTGGTTTCTACAGAACAGTGGGCTCTGTGCCCCTGCTGTGGTTTCTACAGGACAGTGGACACTGTGTCCCCGCTGCGGTTTCTACAGGACAGTGGGCACTGTGCCCCAGCTGTGGTTTCTACAGAACAGTGGGCTCTGTGCCCCTGATGTGGTTTCTACAGTACAGTGGGCACTATACCCCTGCTGTGGTTTCTACGTGCCTATAGACGCATGGGAAAAACGTTATGCACAGGCCTGTGTCTTGGAGAGGAATCGCTTTGGTGGTGGTTCCGTGATGATTTGGGGTGGAATAACAGCACGCCAAAGAACTCCTTTGGTGATTGTTCAGGGCAACTTAACTGGTGTGGGCTACAGGGATCAGATTAATCGACCTGTGGCAATTCCTTTTCTGCGACATGATGGCCCTGGGTTAACATTCCAACAGGACAATGCCCGCCCTCATACGGCAAGGGTTGCTATGGATTTCTTCAACACCACAACGTTGACTTACTGCCTTGGCCTGCAAATTCACCGGATCTCTCCCCGATAGAGCATGTTTGGGACGAGATGGATTGACGTCTACGCCGTCTTCCTCATCCACCAGATAACGTCCTTGACCTTGCAACAGAACTTGAGAGAATCTGGCGTGACATCCCACAAGCCTTCCTTGCACATTTGATAGGCTCTATGCGTCGTCGATGCACTGCTGTTCTCAATGCCGATGGTGGACATACCCATTATTGAGCTTGTGACATGGTCATTTGACCCCTGTCCCACTTGTGGACTCGTGACGTCATTGTGATTGACTTTTCAATTGAAATTCTCCCGACTTGTTATGGTCTCATGATCCCTCCATTAAAGTTTATATGTACCTTTGACATTGTTATCGTACTTATCAACTGGGATAATATTTTGACAATGCACAGTTTCTTTATGTGGCTAGTATATATGTGAAATGCTTGCATCCATCAGTAAATATATGTCTGAAACATAGGTATGCAAGCTGAAGAGGCAATGTAACATAGTATACTGGGTAATTACGGATAGTGTTGTGATAACCTGTTTGAATGCAAACAAATCAGAACTAATTGGGTAATGGTTATTTATGCTGTGTACTTTCTGTTAACATGCAGTTTATCTACAGGTCCGCTGCTTGAGTTGTTTGTAGTTGATGTGTTTTTCCTACCTTGATATAATGAAAGAAACAAACTTTACCACTATATCATTATCCCTTGGAATGATAAATATGGTGTACGCATGCTATTTTATTTTCCTCAAAGCTATAAACTAGAGTGTGTGCATGCATAGGTGCATGGGTGCATGGTTCCCTCAAAGTGCATTTTACATAAAATCAAAATATTAAGTTCCGGACATCTGAATGTTGTGTTTCTATAAAAATGTTCCAAAAACAACATCAATATATTAATGTGATTTTTCAATACTGATTATCAGTATGGTTCATACTGTTTGAATTGTTTCCAGTTGGAACATGTATCCCAACACGAACTGAATTCGACGTTCTTGTGATTTCGACGATTGATTGCATTGCTCGCGTTATATCGGGTGAGTACGTGTGCGATTGGAGTGCACAAACAGTTTCACTGGTAAGGTGGGTGCCCAGTCGCTGTCGTGAGAAGTTTTATTGACAATGGAAATCCGGAAGTAAAGTCATATAAAAAGCAAACAAACATCAATATTATTTACTAAGGCTGTAACCATTCACTCAAATATTCGCTGAATCGAACCGTAGCCCTTCATGAATTCAATTCGTTATTCGTGGTCACCAGAACCGAATATTAACGAATATTTACGTGTTTTTTTAGAGAGCATGTTTTACTTGAACCCTTATGTCCTTTCCAAAGTGAGATATGCAAGAATGGAATATGTACTAGCATTGCAGTAGTGCAAGTAATGTTAGTTTGCCAAGGCGGCACATGGTACTGTCGACTATAACTATTACATACCAAATTTGAGTGTCATGAGATCACCGGTTATTGCTATGACAAATCAAAACTGTCAACATGGGAAATAGATGAATATATCCTTTATCACTCGAGGTTAGTAAAATAAAAAGTTTAAATGATATTACAGATAAAAATTACGTTTTTGTCTTACATCGTCGAAAACCCCTGACACCGGGATATGCTTTGTTCTGTATTGTGCAAGCATCAGGATCATGCATTATGCCTTGTTCTGTATTGTGCAAGCATCAGTATCATGCATTATGCCTTGTTCCATGTTGTGCAAGCATCAGTATCATGCATTATGCCTTGTTCTGTATTGTGCAAGCATCAGGATCATGCATCATGCCTTGTTCTGTGTTGTGCAAGCATCAGTATCATGCATTATGCATTATGCCTTGTTCTGTGTTGTGCAAGCATCAGTATCATGCATTATGCCTTGTTCTGTATTGTGCAAACATCAGTATCATGCATTATGCCTTGTTCTGTATTGTGCAAACATCAGTATCATGCATTATGCCTTGTTCTGTATTGTGCAAGCATCAGTATCATGTATCATGCATTATGCCATTGTTCTGCATTATGCCTTGTTTGTATTGTGCAAACATCAGTATCATGCATTATGCCTTGTTCTGTGTTGTGCAAGCATCAGTATCATGCATTATGCCTTGTTCTGTATTGTGCAAACATCAGTATCATGCATTATGCCTTGTTCTGTATTGTGCAAGCATCAGTATCATGCATTATGCCTTGTTCTGTATTGTGCAAGCATCAGAATCATGCATTATGCCTTGTTCTGTGTTGTGCAAACATCAGTATCATTCATTATGCCTTGTTCTGTGTTGTGCAAACATCAGTATGCATTATGTCTTGGTCTGTATTGTGCAAGCATCAGTATCATGCATTATGCCTTGTTCTGCATTATGCCTTGTTCTGTAGTTGCATCAGAATCATGCATTATGCCTTGTTCTGTATTGTGCAATCATGCATTATGTTTTGTTCCATGTTGTGCAAACATCAGTATCATGCATTATGTTTTGTTCCATGTTGTGCAAACATCAGTATCATGCATTATGTTTTGTTCCATGTTGTGCAAACATCAGTATCATGCATTATGCCTTGTTCTGTGTTGTGCAAACATCAGTATCATGCATTATGTTTTGTTCCATGTTGTGCAAACATCAGGATCATGCATTATGCCTTGTTTCATGTTGTGCAAGCATCAGTATCATGCATTATGCCTTGTTCTGTGTTGTGCAAACATCAGGATCATGCATTATGCCTTGTTCCATGTTGTGCAAGCATCAGTATCATGCATTATGCCTTGTTCCATGTTGTGCAAGCATCAGTATGATGCATTATGCCTTGTTCCATGTTGTGCAAGCATCAGGATCATGCATCATGCCTTGTTCTGTGTTGTGCAAACATCAGGATCAGGCATTATGATGGAAGGAGAATCCACGGCAATATCAACCAATGTTTCTGTTGAAGTAATGTCAACTCACCTTCTACTCTCTGTTTCTTACTGTCATCTGGAGTGTCAGCACTGTCAACAAAAAACAGTTAACTGTAAATACATGAAGAAGAAAGAAATCAAATGTGTGAAGGTTGACAGGCCAAATGACAGGATGGATGGGTGGGTGGGTGGATGACAGATAATACATGGAAAAATTGATGGATGAAAATTGAAACTTAGATGGAAGATGTAAAGATATGAAAAATGAGGACATAACAGATGGATGTGATTTTTAAGAACGATAGATGTTAACAAAATGATAAGTAGATGGAAGGTTGGATGGGCTGAGAAATGAATGGAAGGTCGAGGGACAGATGGAGATACATAACATTCAAGTTTAGTAAGGAAGCATAAGATTATATGGATGAACAACTTCGTTATTACAATATGTGTGAATTTTGGTGTAGGTTCAAACACCGTTATCAAGCAAGCGATGTATAGAGAACAGTGTTCACGAATAGCGTCTGACCCTCTGACAAATCTGGCAGATTCGCCAATGGTCAGACAGAAGTCTACAACCTGCCGGCCCCAGTGTCTGACTGTATATTTCACAATGACCCTGACTGAAGTTGTTTTATGCGACATGTGACACTTGTTTGCTATTTATAAATCTTATGTTTGTTAATAATTTCAATGTCAGTTATAAGAAATATTAAATCTGAAATGTGTGTTTAATTTTATTCCATGGGTCCTGTGCATTTTCAATGGGTCAGACAGACATCTGAAACTTACAGGACCCAATGTCCTGTGACTTTCAAACACCATTCGTGAACACTGAGAGAAGACTGAGAGGCACATATATATATATATATATATATATATATATATATAAGGACATGATCATTGGATTAGGGTTTGAATAAGTTAGAGAAGCCAGCTAACTACATAGTGGTTAAGATAACAGTATATGAAGCTAACAGGTCCATAAACAAATGGATTTTGATTGATGGGGGTCTTTTTCTTCCTTCCGTTGTACTCCTACTTCAATACGCCTCTGAAAGAAGTTCAAGCTTTTTTGTCTGAGAGTATCGGTACATCATAACCCTTCTTCTTTCATATACAAGTTTTGTTTTTAACAAATTAAGTTCAACTAAGTTATCTGCAACCCCAGCAACTGTCTGTTTTCATATTTTTGATATAAATGTATTGCCAATTATAAATTATGCAGCAGAAGTTGGGAGATTTTATCCTTCCCTTGATATTGAAAATGTACATGATCTTTTCTATAAACACCTTCGCTTGAACTGAAACCCCCTTAACATAACTGTATGGTAAATAGAACATCGATCAAGGTTTTGCAGTATGTAAAGGTTATTAAAATTGTAGTAAGTGTTATTGTCACAACACATAAATATTATCCTTAAAAGGTCCCGATGATTTTCAGTATGGAGGGCAGAAAATGGTAAAGCTTGTTGGCTACTAGTGTTACTAAGTTTGGAAATGTAAATGCATTTGGTGTTGGAATTTATGGAAATGGAAATGTAAATGCATTTGGTGTTGGAATTTATGGAAATGGAAATGCATTTGGTGATGGAATTTATGGAAATGGAAATGTAAATGCATTTGGTGTTGGAATTTATGGAAATGGAAATGGAAATGCATTTGGTGTTGGAATTTATGGAAATGTAAATGCATTTGGTGTTGGAATGTATGGAAATGTAAATGCATTTGGTGTTGGAATTTATGGAAATGGAAATGCATTTGGTGTTGGAATGTATGGAAATGGAAATGCATTTGGTGTTGGAATTTATGGAAATGGAAATGCATTTGGTGTTGGAATTTATGGAAATGTAAATGCATTTGGTGTTGGAATGTATGGAAATGTAAATGCATTTGGTGTTGGAATTTATGGAAATGTAAATGCATTTGGTGTTGGAATGTATGGAAATGTAAATGCATTTGGTGTTGGAATTTATGGAAATGGAAATGCATTTACAACATTGTGCTTTAAGCGATGATGCAAAGATATTAGTCAGCAAATATGGAATAATAGTCTGGAATATTATTCTAAGCTGGACTATTTTTGCTCTGTGAAGAAACAGTTCAATTATGACCATCTGACAAGTATGCTGTATCAAATACCACTGGTGATATTTAGTTGTCCTAGTCATAATGTTAGGGTAGGGGCAGGGAGGATGTATATAATACCAAGGCCAAAACATATATGTCCCGTTATGTTGTGCCATACACAGAAACTGAATTCCACTTTTTCTTGAAAGCTCATATTTTATTAAAGATGTGCCATTTTTGTATAAAGATGTCATTAACATTGTGAGACTGATTGTTGCACGTATGAGTATGTTCAGGTGTTGGGACTTGATCTACAAGGCATTAGTTAGTTATGATCAGCCTTGAGAGTTTGGACCACTAGTTGTAACAGGTGCTTTATAGATAGGTCCCTTCATATAACTGCCCTTGCTGTAACCCACAGCCACTGCAGCTTCCACGGGATTCTACTTAACAACAGTACTCAAATCTGTACTTTACTGAGAACGTGTAATAACAAATATAACACAGGGTTTTACATAGCTCTTCGAAAGTAGAAGTCCTGGGGACTGAGGGCATATTTTTTTGAGAGTCCATTTCCAAAATTGGGGGTCCATCAATTTGCATTAAATCAATGATAATGAATGCTTCTCATTTGATAATGATTATGTTAAGATATGTGTTACTTTCAATGTCATTAGAATAATGATTGTAAATAGAATGTTTATATTTTAATATGGGATATCATTACAAACTCAGAAAGTTCTTTCCCAGAAAAAAATTATATCGCGTCCACAAGGACGCACAGGATTTTAGTTTGGGGGTACTTCACCAAATTTCTGCGTCCAATACGCAGGAATCTTGCGTCCCGTAAAACCCTGATATAACATATCATACCTTGTACAAAGTGCCAGTAGCCCCTATATGGGATACACTCAGTCATACACCAGTTGATATTATGAGCAGTGTCATACCGCTGGGGTATGATGACACAACCAAGTCGTCACTATGTCTGACACCTGATCCAGTCATATGTAGTCTCTTACTACAAGCCAGAGAGTGCTGGGATCAACTCTAACCAGAGTCTGACAGGTATTACGCCAACAAGAAAACAATGTCAAGAATATATTTACACCTCACCACATGATGGAATCTACAACATATTTACAGTTGATAATGGAGGACGAGAATATATCTCAATTAGGAAAGTTCACAGGGAATTATCTAGATCTGCCCATAGGCTGATATTCAACCCAAAGACTGTGGTAAAAATTTCCAGTTTGGATTAAAACTTTCCCACTTCCTCATAATTTACAAAAACAAAATCCCAAAGTACCAGTCAAAGGTATTAAGTTTAGAATCCTATACAAATCCCTTGTTCACATAAAAACATACCGTCATACAAACCATTGATTCACATTTTACAAATGATGCTTTCTGTTTATTGGAAATAATTTTGCACAGATTAAAACCAGGGTCTGACTATCATATACAAAACTGTACGTACCAATCAGGTACAGTAAGGATTTCATTGTGGAAATTGTTCTTTTATCAATTGATTCATATTTCACAGTTTTATCTCTGTGTAAAAGATACATTAAGTTTATACAGAAGTCATAAGAGAAAATTAGCCCCTAATCTCATCAGTGCAGTCACCTGGAAGTAGGCCTTGCTCCACTTTCTCAACGGTGTACAATTTCAGTTTTTTCCGGTTATCTGTCATAACTGTTATCCTAACATATGTTTCTGATTGTGAGTTTTATGATAACAGTTTCTGCGGACACTGTGGATGTTGCAGCTCTGTGTTGATGAACCAGCCAGTACATACAACTAATCTCCTGTATAGGATGGGCAGATTATTTATAGCACAGTAATCTGGGAATATTGATCCACCAAATCAGTTCTAATCATTGTTACACTAGTTCCATGTGGTTTTTATCTGCAATAATTACATATCAGATACATGTATAATCAAGTTATCCTGTTTTGGGTTCTACAAATTAAATTTGCAATACTTTCAACTCTCAAAACAAGTTAAAACACCATGTGATAAGAACATATGCTTTTCTATAAACATTTGAAAAAATAGTACCAAGGCACTGTAGCTCACTTGAAAATGAAGAACAACAAAAGTTTTTATCACCATAAATATTAAAAACAATTGTGCACAACAGTCAGGAAAAATTACAATTCACCTCTAATAATTTCAGCAAAATATGTCATTACAATAGAAACATACCTAGCACAGTTCTGTTCCTTCATGGGAGACAATACTTAAGTGTACACAATAATTTTGAGAAAAAAGGTAAAAATTAAAACTGTCAATAAAAACAAGAACAAAAAAAACTAAACAAATACCAATTACATTGCATAATATGTTGTACAAAAAAGGCTGAACTGTGTCCATAAATAGCATTTTTAACATGGAAGCCATATTGAAATTGAGATTTGAACATCTTCAACAAATTAAGGTGTTATTATTGATTTTAAAAAGACAACATGTAAATGTTCAGTTTCATTAATGAACTTTTCCTGTGTAAGGAAATGTATTTTGAAAGAATTGATGAACATGATTGAAGTTGGAAAGGCCAAATCAAGGTCAAAGCTTGAAATATGGCAAACTAACTACAGTCTACACACACATACACTAACTTTCTTTATATATTGAACAAAAGTGACTGAGTGAAATCTGTAGAGGTTTGAGCTCAGTTTGGATGTGCTATGGTAAAATTGAGACCAAAATTTTAATATATCTTATAACACATACATTGCGCCCCACCACTCACTACACATGTTCCTAATTTCAGTTGTGATAAATGACTGAATTATGGCTAAAGCAGGCAATGATAAAAAGTCACATAACTATAAGTCAGGTGAGCTAATACAGCAAAGATTCAAATCTTGTTTCACTCATTCTCAAACATTTGAAAGATGTAATTTTATTTCAGAAAGCTCATCACTCATGTAGGTCCATAGAAGCTTGGCGGAGTTTACAGCCAAATGACAAAATTTATTGCCAAAGTCTGTAGAGTTTGGTGTTAATT